CGGCATTCACTGTCAGCCATCACCTTCCTAGTAGGCTCTCAGCTCTGCCTTAAAGTCTCTGAGGGGTGCTCACCGGTCCAGCTCTGGACAACCCGGACTGGTGAAGGGCCAGGACCCCACCACAGCTATCCAGAGTGGAACTGCCCATTCTTCTTCAGCTCCTTCCACAGACAGTCTCCCTTAGGGAACAGAACAAGGTACCTGAAAGATTCACCCCCTGCCACTTCCTGTTACGGCCTCACCTGTCAGGTCTTTGACTCCCCTGTTCAGCCTGGAGAAGAGAAGATTGAGAGGGGATCTCATCAACGTGTACAAGTATCGGAAGGGGGAGTGTCAAGAGGATGAGGCCAGCCTCTTCTCCGTGGTGCCCAGCAACAGGACAAGAGGCAACGGGCACAAACTGAAACACAGGAAGGTCCATCTGAACCTGAGGAAAAACTTCTTCACTGTGAGGGTGACAGAGCACTGGCACAGGTTGCCCAGAGAGGTAGTGGAGTCTCCTTCCCTGGAGATATTCAAAAGCCGTCTGGATGTGATCCTGGGCAATATGCTCTAGGTGACCCTGCTTGAGCAGGGAGGTTGGACTAGATGATCTCCAGAGGTCCCTTCCAACCTAAACGATTCTGTGATTCTGTGATTCCCATTATAGTCACAATGCCTTGCTTGGTGTTGCATGGGCACTACAATACAAACCCATACTAGCTAGATCAAGCTGTGCTGTCTCCTTGGTTGCTCCTACTCATGTGCCAGAGAAGTGTTTCACATTCTCTTTACAGGGCTACTTACAACTAAGAGCAACATCATCATCCTGGAAGAGCGCCTCCTGCTTTCCTTTACTAGAGGCAACTTTGCCAAGAGTGAATGGAAAATGAGGTAGGTGTGAGAAGTGGCACACAGTGTGGATCCTTCACAGGAAACAGACTGGAAATGAGCTTGTGAGGAAAAGCAAGCAGACTAAGTTAACAGGAGTACAGGAACAGGAATTCTAAAGCAGCAGAAGACATCAAGCGAAGAAGAGGAGATATGTGAAAGGCGAATGATGCTGCCAGAAAGCATAAACAGACATTAAACATAGGGCCCTCCGAGAGTGACAAGCTTTCTTGAGGGCTACTGCAAGGATGCCAAACTCCTTCCTCTCACCTCACTCAAAGATTTCAAATTAATTTTCAATCCTCACCTTCCATTCCGCTCACGCTCCATTCCCGTCTCTGCCATTTCCATACCTGGAATGGTTCTGCTCTTCAGTAACAAACCAAAACCCCACATAATTGAAAACAACCAAACAAAACAACAACAAAACAACAACAACAAAACTTCTAAGGCTTGGATCTGTCTCTAGAGATGAGGTTCATATTTTTTCTTAAGCCATTTCCAAAACCTCTTCCTCATTGCTAGGTAAATCTACTCACTCCAAACTGATGTCCAGAATTGCCTTTTAAAAATGCAATTCTCTAATCACTTACTTAAAATTTTAAGTTATCCTTATATTGTTTCTCATAACGTCATGAAAATGAACCAGAAGGTAATGCTTTTTACTAGCTTCGTAACAGCTGTTAAGCAGCACAGCGCATTCAGCTCCTGTCCCGTATCAGTGCAATGAGACTAAGTTAACTTCCTAGGGCAGCCTGAAGTGGAACAGAGATCTCAAATTCTAAAACTAGTACCTTTACCAAAAAACAACAACCACCACCCCCCCAAACCCACAAAAACATACCTCATCTATATCACAAGTTTTCAGACTGTTGGCTACAACCCCATGGAACGTCCACACCTGTTAGCCGTGGGCTGATAAAAAACAACTAAACTTATTGCACAGTTCTATATATAAAGGCCCAGAACTCAGTTATTAAGGGTTTAGGACGTTCCACAAGCGGAAAAACAAACGGAAACTACTCTCCTGTGAAAGAGCTACAGTGTTCCACACTTAAGCAATAAAGCAGAGGCAAGTCTAGTTCCAAGGACAGACACACAATCTTCAAGAACCGAGTCTTTGCCATAACACACAAAAAAGTCCTCTGCAACATTTAGGGATTTTTGTAAGAAAAAAACCCTGCAGTTGTCAGTGTAACTCAGAAACAAGAAACCTTCCCTGAGGAAGCTGTACATTGGAATTGATTAGCATAAATATCAAATACACTGTCCGTAGAACAGTTCATAAACGTGCCCAAGTTTTAGAGACGCTTACGCACAGAGAGAACAGGCAACGCAAAACAACATAGCATGCAACTACTTTTCTACCAAGAATCCATTCCAGCAAGACCACAGATCACGCTACTGGCAGGCAGCAGAGCCCGCTCAAGCACAGGCAGGACCTTCAGCCTGACAATATAAAACACACGCTGCTGGCCTGAGCGCTTAGAGAGAGACACCTGGATTTCTATACCTGACCCCTCCTGTCGAAACTGTGACAAAAGATTTCTGGCAGAAGCAGCAGCTCCAGGGAAACCAGGAGGCAGGAAAGAGCAAACTTCTGCAAAGGCAGCGGAAGGTGGAGCGGGCTGAGCTGCCGCAGCCAATCCCAGATGTCCCGGCCGTTGGCCACACAGGCCACAGCAGCTCCTCCCAAACAGACTGGAAACTAACCCGCTGGCTGATGCAACCTCACTCCAACGTCATCCCTCCCACCAGCACACACACCTTCCCATCCTGCTGCCCCAGCAGATGATGTAACTCTACTCCACGTTGCAGCACAAAATCCAGGGCTTTACAGTTACAGCGCTAACAACTGTTTTCTGTCTAGTCCCAGACTAGTCCAGACAGCCCAACCCACAGCACAGACAGCCTACCCGTCTCCCACACCCAGCTTTCCTCGACCTTGATTCTTCCTCTTGTCTGTGAAATGGGATGTAGGAGATGAAAGGCACTTACATAGCCAAACTGTTGAGACAGGCTTTACCTCCTTAGGCTCTTTACCTCTTCTCTTTTCCGCTGTATCCCAGACCCCCCTGCACAAGGGCACAAGGAGTACTGGCTTTGCTCTTCACATCTCCCATATCCCATTTCCATTCATTTCTAAATTAAGAGAGAAAGCACCCTTATTGCTTCAATCAGTAGAAGCCGCAAATGCTGCAATTTCTCATCTTCAAAGATGCTACAAAATTCACAGCAGTTCCTCAGTTCAGCTGAAGAATTACAGTCTCCTGTCTACACCATGCTGTTACATTCCTATTTGCTTACTGTAATTCAAACAAATTCCAACTGCACTAATTTTCATGTTGGCAGAAATCAATATTCGGTCCTCTTTCAAAAAAAAAAAAAAACTTTAAAGATTTACCTGCTGGGATCAGAAAACATAATAATCTCAGAAAGTCTCATGACTGGAAAAAATTTCATGAAGAGTGAACAGTATTCGAGCGATAACAGTAGGGTGGGAAAAACTTATTAAAAAAACACCAAAACTCAGAGACAAGAATTTCTGGAGGACCTAAGCCACAATGATTGGACATTAGGAGTTGCTACACTGGATTGCACTCTCTCCTCCTGAGGGAAAACAAAGCAACCCCCAAAAAGCCCCAAATAAATGCAGGGATACCTCTTTGTTAAAAAGACTCCCTGCAGATTGCCACATGATCAGGTGCACTATTTGGTTTTATTAGCATAGCGCATATGAGCCCTGCTGTCCCCTCTTGTCCCCCCCCAATCCAATTATCAGCAAAGATAAAGAACCTTGCTGTGTATAAATGCAGAATAAAGACAACGCTAACTCCAGAACTTGAGGTCGTCCACATGCAAGAAGAGAGGCAAAACAATGACTAGAGAGGCAAATAAGCACGACAACTGGTTTTCCATATTAAGCTAAGCCTTTGTTTTGATTTTTAAACAAGTAGCAAAAAAGGGAAATGGCCCTATTTTAGACTTACCTGGCTAATTTTTAATACAGGCAAGTCCTTTTTGAACTGTGCTTCCAAACAAAGACTAACAGGTTCCCCTCAACCCATGCTGTTACTCAGAGGCTGCTTTCTTCAGATGCGGAAGTAGAAGAATCAGTAAGAGAAACTGAAGAGGAGCTACAATCAAAATGCTTTCATTTTCCCCATGACACCAGCAGGTCTTACGGAAGCTTGTTAGCTGCAAGAAATCCTAGATTTCCTACCTGGGCAGCAGTTCATTACCTCAGTGCACAGCAAGTGTAACGGGGAAAAGCAACGGGAAAGCTTGTTTTCAGACAGTTCAGGGCAGTGAATACCCTGAGAGGTCTTAAACAGAATTCCATTTCCAAGAAAAAGCACAGGAACCACCATGCTGTATTAACAAGCTGAGTTGGCAGGCAGACTTGCTACAGTTCACCTCCAATCCTAGACACAATCCAGTCCTAGGCACTGTGCCAAGACTCAGCTTTTTTACTGTCCAATTAAAAACAAACAAACAAACAAAACACACACACAGAAAGAGGGGGCTGTAATCGAGATTACTGAGTGAGGAATGTAAGGACACTGGTTAGTTTAATCAAGTGCTAGTCCTCAAATGCAATACGGTTTCTTCATATCTTCCTTCCTCTTAGCATCACCACTCTCTCTCTACTCCTGCCTGCATCACATCTGGCTAATCTCTTCTATCATCTTTTTTCACTGCCCAGCAGCAAAACATCAGATTCTACCAGCTGTTAAGCATAAAAATGATAAAACTAGCATCCCAGTTTAAAACATCAGTTTCTCCATAGCCATCAAGTAAAGGTTCTACAGGTGCCAAAGGCCATGCAGTTTTCGAAAAATCAGTGGAGAGTGAAGTTTTATAACAATTATGGCTGGTGCAGTAACAAATGACAAGGTGAAAATCAAGTTCTTGGATACAGGTTTGTATTCAGGAGACTCTTTGGTCGCAGACATACAAGGATAGAGAGAAAAGATGTTCTGGAAAATATGAACTGAAGTCAACATTCTAGTTTATTATTTTGGAAGACAGGCAGGCAGACATCAACACTTAACACCCTAGGTGTCCGCTCCCTTCCAGAACCTCTTACAGAAGCACTGGTTGCACTTTCTGTCTCCCCATTGACCTTTTGATTCATACCCTGCGCATCCGAAGGTCCCGCTGTGGAATCTCGTCAACCATTCTGACCTTCTGGCCGTTATTAAGCCAGTCAGCCACAATTTTCTGTGCAGGAAGGCTGGGGAAAATTCACTGACTGTAGAATCCACTTCTAGTCCCTTGTCCTGTCATTTCTCCAGGTAGAGTATGACTCAAAACAGCATTTATCAACACCTCAGCCTCAGGGAGCAGTGAGTACTCAGCTTTGCATTGCCTCTAGTACCTTATTTTTGCGCTATTTGCCTTTACCTACCTCTTTTGTTTTTTAATTCTCCATCCTTCACAATGATGTGTCCCTCTCTTCTCTTGTGGTTGGGGAGAAACAAGAAGGCATTTAGTTTATATGAAAGATAAGGTGGCACCCACTCCTAAGGAGGGGGGAGCAGGAGAAGAACTCAGTAAGGACAGCAGTTGCTGGCAGATGCCTGGATAAAGTACACAGGCAGCACAAAGAAACACTTATAGTTCCCTGAATACTCTTCTAGTTCTCCAGCCCTATGCGGGCTGGGGCTATTTGCCCCCTGCATGGGGCTATTCGCCGTCTCCACGCCACTCCTGATTTTACAGACTTGTAATATGCCCTCTCTCGTTCCTGCCTCCCACGTCTCTTTCCCAAGATAAAGCAGGCTGTGATATTCCAGTTGCCCATAGACAGTTCCGGCACCAGAAATGCCAGTTTTGCCTCCCCTCCTGATCAAAGTTGCAGTTCCCATTTCCCTCCTACTGCTAATGCTCAGCTGTATCACTGTAATATGCTGGTAAAAGATCAGGTGACCCACCTGACTGTATAATCTCACGAGAACTAGTGCCAACGAGATAGAAGCACAGCAACTCCTAAGACTATATTGCCACTAATAAAGCAGTTTAGGATGCTCATGCCCTCAGTATCTCCTTATATGAACACTAGTCCACATCGCTGATCAGGTCTATTCCTCTTCTTACACCTCCCCAATATCTTAAGAAGCATACAGCAAATTAGTCTGGGGAAAGAAGCCAGAACTACACACACTGTACTAAAAGGTTGATGAAATTTGAATTTATACAGTGGCATGAAACGTATTTTTATTTTGCACTTTTTTCCTTACCTGGTAATTCCTACTGTTCTATATGCTTTTTGATTTTCACTAGTACGTGAGCTGACTCTTTGGAGTACACATCACCCACAGTGACTCACAAATATTTTCTTGCCTGGATGCTGCAGAAAAACAGGAAAATATCATTGCTTTCGTGGTCCTAATAATGCAACAAACAGTAAGAGCAGCTGAAAAATGAATAAAGTTAAGCCCGAGAGATGCTCATTCTGCTTCTGAATGCATTTCTTACAAGAACCTGGGCAAAGAATAACTTACAGGAGGAAAGTAGTTACACCCGTGACAGCACACAAGTAAATCAATGAGTAAAGCGCTGTCCGAGAAGAGACAGAAGACTGATACTTCCAACCAAACATTTTTTAGGGTACAGAGTCAGCACTAAGATAAGCTTTTATGGACGTATTTCAACAATGTTTCACTTACTTACAAAAATAAAACTGTTCTTAACTTTATAGTATTTCAATGAAGTTGCTTTGCAGAGACACTTGTCAAAGGCTTTTAGAAATCTATGTTAAGTTATGCCCATCAAGACACCTTTATCTACAGTTTTATTACTTCTCGCAGAGAACTATCAGGTTTCTTCTTACAAAAACTCTAATCTGATCCTCTTACGGCTCCCGTGAAGAAACACTGTGCAACCAGCAGAGGCTTATCACCAAGTGTTAGGCCAAAAGCTAGATAATAATTCTTACGTGTCGTACAAATCTCAGGAGGGTTTACACCTTTTTTTCAGGCATGGAGAATCCTTGTAAGTAGATGCAAGAGATGAGGAAGAGGGGGGAAAAAACGTCAAGAGGGTGTCATGCTCCGCTTTCCCACAGCCCCAGAAGAACGAGGCCAGTGAAGCTCTTATCAATTAGCCTGATGCTTGCAGGGGTCCGAAGACCAATTTCACTCTGGCAGCGACTACTCACAGTAACAACGCTTTGTAGCCTTCGAGATAACTAGACTCAGGAAAGCTGGAGCTCAGAAGCACAGGGAGCGTGCAGAGGCAGGCAGCGGTCAGACGACGCATATGGAGCACCTCCACGGGGATACAGGCTGACTCAACGATTGTCAGGGGCTCATCGTTCCCTGCAGCTTGGCAGCTGCTCCTCATCCGTAAGTCGCAGAAAGGGAAACCAGGCCGCGACCGCTCTGACTTACTGCGGAGCCCTGGGGAGAGCACAGCCCGGCCTCAGCCGCACCTCTGGCAGGAGGCCCGCGCCCCG